CATACGGTCGATGACGATAGTATCTCAAGGTGCCAAAGAAGGCGCAATAACATGAGGCTCACATCACCATCGGAGCAATCGTTTCATCACTCCCACATAGTTCACATGCGCTGGCAATTAATACACAAAATCGCGCTATTTTTACGTATCAAATCCAACAGGAGCAGCATTTCACCGGCGGTCAAGTTGCCGCTAAAAACTCATAGAATATGTTATTTTATTAATTTTTTAAACTATATAACTCGAGACCGCTGGTCGGATAATGTTTTTCCTTCCAAAAAAAAAAAATTCAGAAATAAGTTTGAAAGGAACCACATCGGAGCTGCTTCCAAGAATTCTGAAGTCCATTGCCTCGGTTACTGGGGCGATTAATCGTTATGAGTAGCAATAATCCAAGTAGAGTTTGTACTTGAGCAAAAACCATTTTCTTAAATGATGTACGTAGTTATTAGCCTAGTTACTCAAACCATTATTTTGTTGACATAATAAACTTTGAAAAATAAAATCGTTGCGGTAGCATTTTATATGGAATGACCGTTCTATAAAATTGGATCATTTACGTATACACTATACCTATATATATACATACAGTGTTAAATATATATACTTTTAATTTCACCGACCATCTATACTTTGTTATATTATGAAAAAATAAATAAAGTTAAGGACAGGATAATTTCACTTATAAGCATAATCAGTATTGGGAATGATTTTAATTTTACAGTAATAATTATACACTTTAAGATTTTAATGCATTTATCTATGCCTATTTCCCTCGTCTTCTTAACTTCTATTGGCTAACTAGTTTGTTTAGAAAGGTCAGGAAAGGTGTTTTATGCGTGGTAGAGCCATGCTGTATCTATATTAATGATATAGTTGTAGCACGAATGGGTCGGCTCGACCGGGGAAGGACCACGCTCTCACAGAACACCAGCGTAAAGTAGCAACTTAACGCTGCTGTGTTTCGTATGGTGAGTGTAGAAAACCGGAGGCATTCCATCTTAGTCCTCAGGGGTGACAACCCATCTTCATTTTGATACGTAATCGAGGATAGATGTAGATGTCTACGGGCCACAGCAACCACTTACCATCAGGTGGACTGTGTGCTCGTTTGTCACCCTAATTCCATAAAAAAGGTTAAAAATTACTCGATTTACTGAAATTATTTCATTGAATATTTAAACTGCTGTGTTTCATATGACTCTACACCCTTGAGTCTGGAACACAGTAGTGTATGCACTGCTGCTTGCAGACGAACACCTTGGCGGAAAAGAAGTCCTACCACCTAGCAAATAGAATTGTAAGAAAGTTCTACGATACGATAAGAATCTTCAAGAAAATGGCTTACTATTTTAAAAAAGGTCTTTTTATTTATAGGATAGGGTGACAATCGAGCACATACGAGTAGTACACCTGATGGTAAGTGGTTGCTGTGACCCACAGACATGTACATTTATCCTTAATAAAGAATCAAAATGCAGATGCGTTGTCACCCATGAGGACTAAGATGGAATGCTTCTTTTCCAGTAAAATGGGTCTCCGGTTCTCTAAACTCACCATACGAAACACAGCAGTGTCAAGCTGCCATTTTCGGCAATGCACCTGCAATTTCCCTGATGTTGCAGTTGTTCATGGGCGGCGGTAGTCACTTACCATTAGGTGAACCACATACTCGTTCGTTCCTTCTTATGTATAAAATGAGTTCTGTGACTTTAAATACGTAGTTCCTCAGGGGTCCGTTGTCTCCGCAACTCTCTTCGTGCTGTATATTAATGATCTGCTCATTCCCGGTATATATGCAGATGACAACACAGTTGTGGAGAGGTACCAGCCGAATGCTTGGGCCAGTCGGGATCAAATCCAGTCCGAAAGAGAAGCTATGGTTGAGCGTGCGAATCTCTTACTGCAGGTAGTCTCCGAATGGGGCGATACCAATCTCGTTAGATTGAACGCCTCCAAAACAGAAGCGTATCTTTTCACCGCTAAAAGGAGCCCGCTCACCCTGGCTCCTACATTTTGGAATGTATCCTTGGAGTACACTGACCTTCAGTTGGTAGGGGTTGAATTGTCTCCGAACTTCAACTATTGGCGGTTCATTTAGTCCAGGCCGAAAGCAGCCGCAAAGAAACTAGGTGTTCTTGCAAGGGTGCGCGGTACTTTACGTCGGGGGAGCTTCTTATCTTATATAAAGCGCAAGTCCGGTCATGCATGGAGTACTGCTGTCACATATGGGCTGGTGCTGCCAAATGCCACCTGCCAGCGTTGGGCTCGGTGACAAGACGCGCCAAGAGGCTCATAATTTGGTTGAAACCATTCTTGTCAGCCTCGAGCACAGGCGCAGAGTAGCCAGCCCCTCGGTATTCTATAGGATGCATTTCGGTGAGTGTGCGCAGGAATTACACTCTTTCATTCCTAGTGGGAATTGTGGTTAAGTACTGGCTTATATACGAGCGGCACTGAAAATTTCGGGAATCAAGGAAGTGACACAATATTACAATTTAGAAATGTATTTATTGCTTTTCGAAGTATTCTCCGCGAAATTTGACACATTTTCCATACGATGGAACCAATCATTGAAGCAACCATTCCATTCGGAAGTTGGGGTCTCCAAAATGGCCGTTTTGTAGGCGTTCACAGCTTCTTCAGGTGATGAAAATCTCTGTCCACGCAATTTATTCTTTATTTTAGGGAAAATATAGAAATCATTAGGGCTTAGGTCGGGGCTGTACGGCGGATGGTCTAATAATTCTATGTTTTCTTGCTCTAAAAACTATTTTGTTCTGTGTGCGATGTGAGAACTCACATTGTCGTGATGGGGGATGATGCGGCGGTTGCAGTTTTCTTTACGGAGTTCAGAAACGACCTGTGGCAAACAAATGCTAGCATACCATTCTGCATTAACCGTTCTTTGTCCCTCAAGAGGAATAGTCGTAACATGGCCGGTTTTGGAGACAAACGTGGCCACCATTTTTTTTGCAACACTCCGTGAACGAACAATTTTTGTTAGCTTTAACTCATTTTCGAACACCCAAACTCGTGACTGGTTTTTTTGTTTCGGGTTCGTACGCATATATCCAGGATTCGTCACCTGATACGATGTTTTATCCAGCATTTGAGTATCTTGCGTGGAATCTTTCGAGAGTTCTGACGCACCAAGTAACGCGAGCCGCTTTTCGCTCTTCACAGAACGAATGCGGTATCCATCGGGAAAACAACTTTTTTACACCTAATTGTTCATGCAAGATTATTTTTATTTGATTCATGCCAATGTCTAAAGTTGCCTGAATTTCGCGGTATGTCACATGTCGATCTTCCTCAATCAGCTGACCCACAGCATCAACGTTTTCTTGGGTGACTGCAGTTTTTGGACGACCTTGACGGAGATCATCACTGAGCTTGACACGTCCACGTTGAAATTCAGCAAACCAGCGATAAATTGTGGTTTTGGATGGGGCTTCATCACGAAATGCAGAAATTATTCGGTCAACACACTGTTTTTGTGTTAAACCACTTCGAATGTCATAATAAATCATCGCTCTTGAATTTTCTCGAGTCAATTCAATTTTCTCAACGACTAAACAAGTTTGACAAAACTTTGTGACAAGACCGAGAATCTTTTTTTAAATAAATAAATGGTATTCGATTTTTAAAACCAAGGACTTTTCAATTAATAAAATAATAATAATGAAATATTCCATTCCCGATACTTTTAGTGCAGCCTATGTAATAAGTAAAAAAATCTATGTTTACGTTTTAGTGTCTTTTTACTCCTAAGTTTTTTTTTTAGATAAATCTACTTCTGCCAATACTCAGTATAACGACCGCCACACACGCTCTTTTTTGCTTGTACAGTTAAACTGCACTTGTATACCTACGAGCGAAAATATTATGATTCATATATTTTCGGGTTGCCTGATTGTAAACTGTCATTAGTAGATTCTATTTTAATTGAAAACTTTACTTACCTAACTTTACTGTCTTACATGATCAGTATTGAAAAAAAAAATTAAAATGAACTTAGAATTGAACCAGAATATTCAATTGAAATAAAGATAACTAATGGTTTTTGTAGGGTATTTCTTTACTTATATTTACGTTATATATTTATTATAAATAATGAAATAGGTGAAGTTAAATATAATGCTAATACTGTAAAAATACTACTTATCATTGAACGAAAGCAATAATTATAGGTTCGTTAGATTAAGAACTTAGGTCCTGGCTGTGTTCTGTACCTATTCGGCTTTTTCTTTACGTTTGAATGACATGCATTGACAGTATATAATATGTTAAAATCAAAGACAATCTTCTACATGATAAATCAACAAATAATGAATAAAATGAAATGTTTTTCATGTAAAATTTTCTCCACGTTCTCTTTTATCTTCAGTATAAGTAAGCACTCTTAGTGTGCAAAGTTAACACAGATTTATTAAAATTTTATTATATTTTTGTAATGTAATAATTTTTATAAATTATCAATTGAATGAGGAAAGAGTGATAAAGCAAATTTATGCTATAGAAGTAAGTGGAAGAGTCGGCAAGGCACGCTCTAGATGGAAGCCATCAACCAAGTTGGCGATATATTTATTTACTTATTGAGTTTTACTTATTATTGTGGTCGGCGCTTAGAGTAGATAGTCTGCTTAGAAAGGGTTGTCGTAAATTTCACAGTATGCGAGCAACCCGGGTTCAATTATCGCAGGCACCAATGAAATTGTTATTCACAATTTAAGTGCCGATTTACCACGTGCTCGTCGGTGAATATAAACATAGTTCGAAAACCCGCATATTTAAGAAATTTAAAAAAAAGAAAATTTCGAAGACTTGTGAAATCTGCTAACACACATTGAGGTAGCACGCCGGATATATCCATATTTCCTTGCCCTAAAACCTCAGAATTAGAGGGGGTATGTGGCCAGGACTGAGATGTATATAGAGTGTAACTTTATTTTTTTACTATATATTTTTTTTTGTTAATGAATACGTTTTTGTTTTAGAAGAGGCGACTATAACAGCCGCCGAGAACGATTCAGCTCCAGAGAGTCCACATAAAGATATCAAACTGCCGCACAACGAGGCAAACATGATAGTCGGTGAGTAAAAACATTACAGCAACAAGTTTATTGATCATCAATTATGATGTCTTGATTATTTCATAATAGAGAGACAAAAACTAACGATCAACCCGATGCTAAGTGGCTACTGGACCTAATTGTCACCTGCAAACATGTCAAGACAAACAAGGCCACAGATGCGTTGTCATCCTATGAAGACTAAGGCCAAGTGCCTCGTAGCCTGTGTACCTTCATACAGCGGTCTATGCAATGGTGGCAACGAACTTTTTATATTAATATATTTGTAATTATAAATGAATATATAATAATAATATGTATATGCATAATTATAAAACAAAACGAAAAATTAATTAAATATTACAGCCTATCCAAAGTCTATTGATAAATATAATCATACATTTTTTTATAGAATAAGAGTGACAAACGAGCACACAGTCCACCTGATGGTAAGTGGTTGCTGTAGCCCATAGACATCTACATTTATCCTTGATTAAGAATCAAAATGCGGAGACGTTTTCATCCTTGAGGACTAAGATGGAATGCCTCCTTTCCAGTGAAATAGGTCTCCGTCTCTCTAGTGTAGGGAGAATTTGTCTTAATTGTCTTGGCAAGCGGATTGCCCGTTGCATTTCTAATATTCGTCTCTTATGACACTCAGGGATCAGCAGTATTAAGCTGCTATTTTACGCTGGTATTCTGTGAGAGCGTGGTCCTTCCCACGGACCAGGACCACGCTACAATCTAATATAGCTGCATCCTGGCTCGACCACGTCAAAAATTACATTTTTTACGTTAAAATTAATTTTAAATTACATACATTGAAAAAACAGACATAAAATAATATTATTTCTGTATAACTTAAAAACTAATAATGATTATTATTAGTTGGTAGGATTTCATTGTTTTAGTACATAATTGTAGAGAAAAAAATTAAATTACTTAGTTTTTTTTAATTCTTCGAGTTTTATAAACTTCTAAAAAGAAGGTTCGATGTTTTATTAAAAATGTAACAAATATACTACCTATATAAGATACAGAAAACCATCTCTTGAAACGTGTGCGACGTGACATAGTTTATTTTATCAAATAGATTTTGTCGATAACTAATTTGTTTATACCGTTACTTACAGTTCATTATGTTCTATTCTACTTTTTCATTATTTATTAACTCTATGAACAGTACATCATCCGAAATGTATGTCATTATTCATTCAATTATCTTATTCCAGACATCGTCATCCCGTCGCTGTTGATAGCGGCGCTGTTCATTGGGAACGCGTTCATTGTACTCATCATATACAAATATAGGAAACGGTAAGAGTTTGCAAAAATTATATTTTAATTAATACTATTAAAAAGAAAATCACGAAGCATCCTACATTGAGGTTATTACACTGTTATTGGGTACAACCCGCCTATCCAGCATGTTAAACCTATCTCGCGTGGGGAGTTTTGGCGGGAACTTGACCGGTGACGGATTGCTGCTCCTGTATTATTGTTTAAATAATGCTTTGAAGTGGATTTTGATATGTAAAAATGGTGCGATTTTGTGTATTAAATGTCTGCGCATGTGAGTTATTAGTGGAAACGGTGAAACAAGTGCTCTCATGGTGATGTAATTCTCAAGATAAGGTGTTTGTCTGCTTAGACGCCTTGATATACTATCGCCAACTGTCAACTGTCTGCTGGCTCAAGTTGCCGTCAAAATCTCCCAAGGGCTGCACAATGTGATGCATCAACATATTGTGAAGCAGTGTACTATGAACTAATTATACATTGTAACTTCAGGCTTAGAAGGGCTAGAACCCAAAGCCGTAAAGCCAGTTATAAAAATAAAACTATCTCGCTTGGAGAGCAGGTGAGTTTGGACACACCTTTCAGGCGTATAAGCATAGATTACTGTATATATACTAGAGAGTATAAGCCTGGTGTTAAAGTATAAGGCAAAGATATAATATTACTTTGTGGGCACACATTAGGGTGGTCACGCGTTTAGTACTCATAGTATAAATTAAATGTGTTTTTACATTAATGTGTATTGCGTAACTGTTTTTGTCTCAATAGAATAAAAGAAGATATTATGCATTGTGCATTCTCTTCGGCATTCTTGATAACACACAAAACAGTAGATTAAAAAACAAGCTGATAAGAAGGAGACACTACTACTATTGTAGATTCAAAGAAAATTAAAATACATCTGGCTGACTTTGCCTTAGTATTGTTTGCTTTTTTAAATTGTATACAATATGTAACAAAAACCCTGTGGTTCCCGTTAAGTACGTTATCAGGATCATTATTCAAACGTATAGAAATAACTTTTTACTTAGCACAGATTTCACATTATGAAGTCTGTGCTAAGACATAATTTTTAGAGGAATTAAATCCCCATCTATTAAGAATCAAAATGCAGATACGTTGTCACCCCTTAGGACTAAGGTGAAATGCCTCGTTTCCAGTAAAAAAAGGTCTTCGGTTCTCTACATTGACCATGCGAAATACAACAGCTTTCAATCGCTATTTCTTGCTGGTGTTCTGTGAGAGCGTGGTTCTTCCTCGGTGCTACAATTATAATATAGCTGCAGCATGGCTTTGCCACGTAGGAGACATGGGTCATGGGCCTCTTCCGTTGTTGGGAGAATTTGTCTTGTCTTGGCCATAGTCGTCTCTTACAACACTCAGGTATTTAAGTCGTGTCGGATTGATATTCGTGGTGCGCCCTTGCGCTCCACTTGTTCACTATAATCCTATCCTGCACAGAGGGCTATTTTTCGTAAAGACGGGACGCCGTGACTGAAATTCAATATAGAGAACATTATTATTTTTATTATATAATGATTATTTATATAGCGATTAAAGCATGATAGAGAGTGAAACAGCATCGGTTCTCCCGGCAATATCAGAACCAACTAGTACAGCTATTTCCGCAAGCACTAAATAAACTCCTACAATCATATTGAAACGAAGCCCTTATTCGGTAACAAACACAAAATACACAGTTGGGTAGTTGTAGGCGTTATTAATAAATGTTTAGGTACTACATCATATTTGAAATTGTTACTTTGTAGTACCTAGTGTCCTATTGGTAGAGAATTTAATATTCCTTGGTAGTAACTTAAAATTTGTTATTTTTTTATTATTATACTGCAAGAAACTATGATGTCATTACTAGTATTCTTTTATTTCTATACAATATCCTTAGAAAGGGTCATTTTCACAGTTTGTAAAAAGTATTTAAATCAATACGAGTGTCATTTTCCCTTTGTTTTATTTTATGAAGTAGCTCGAGTGTTGTTATTTAAATTTAAACGTATTTTTTTCATAATATAATTTAAGTAGTATTGGCCTTGAGATATCAGTGTCACGAGTATTTCGCTTGTTATACTTATATAGATATCTTTGATTTATGTAACTATACCAATGTTTGTTCAAACATCAATATGTGATGTTTTCTCATATTGATGTTTGAACAAATGTTTTTTTTTGTATCTTTATGAGCACAAGCGCCAGTACATTACAAAAACTTTACCCGGAAGAGGAAAATGTATTTCGAATATGTTTAATATGTTGGGTGTTTGATATTTGTGTCCGATTTATCTTTTCATATTCTTTGAAAAGTATACGTAGTAGACTATGAAAGGATGCAACTAAGAACTAAAAAAATACCAGGTGGCATGACTCCTGCTCTGCCTGCGGGTCCGCCTGGGTAGGTACCACGCTCGTGCCGATTTCAGCCGCCATATAGAGAGCCAGCTAATTACAAGCTGTCAGGCATTCTATTTTAGTCCTTAGAGGTGATAACGCATATATGTAGCAGTCTTTGTATAAAGTTAGTTGCATGTATATCAAAAGTCAACTGCTGAACATAGGCCTCGCCCATGGGCTGGCTGGTTGGTAATGGTTAATATTTTAAGTTGTTATAAGGAAGATGCTGTTGCGAATTTCCTCTTTCTGTTTCCCTCTGTCGCCTCTTACGACACCCACGTGATGATATGGATCATATGGAGTAGTGGGTATTGTTTGGTATTGTAATATAGATACCATATAATTACATAACGTCTTAGAATAACAGAAATTAGTTACGCGAATTAATTTGCAGGTACATTATCAATGGGATAAATTTAAAATAACATCGTTCTATCTATACAGGAAAAACGAGGATCTGGACGACGAGTTCAACACCATTCCGCTGAGTGTCAACGGGCTTCAGAACGCGGGCAATGCTGTTTAGTTGTTCGAAGTTGTAGAAGCGTTGCAAGTGCGGGGGTTGCTTACTTGAATGCATTGTATGTTTACTTTAATCAATGGCTGAATATCGATAAAAAATTGTTTGAATTACTTGTTATTAACATCATCTTACCGGTAGGACATCTCAACTTAGTTCCAGAATAGGCTATATGCTTAGCGTTACCAAATAGAAGAACAAAAATTTCTTGTTAGTAGTAAAATTTTACATTTTAGGTATAGACATTAAAAGGCTTAATTAGTATTTTAATTGGTAAACACATTCGGAAGTAGATTAATATATTAAGCATTGTAAATAACTTAAAAATTTAAAGTCTGTTGCCTTTAATGATAAAATCTTGTATGCAACCTCCGTATTGAGTTAAAACTAAAAAGTTAGACTGCGGACAGACCAACTTTAAAATTTGTTACAGTGGTGGATTTCAAAGCGTCTCGTTGGTGTGCTCGCTGCCTTAAGTCTCTAAGTTACCCTATTTATTTGTTGATTAGTTAACTCACGTAGAACTTGAATAACAGTGCAGTGACTTCAAATCTTTATGAATGGTTGGTGATCTATTTAGGCGTTAAGGAAGGACTGATATTAATATGAAACATTTGATTTAAAGTCGCTGCTTTGAGTTTAGTTCACATATTGTATGTGAAACTGCCTTTATTTATCAGTTAATGGTAATTGTTCGCCTGTAGTCACGGCTTACAGTTGTTTCTTGGCAAATATGACTGTCACTTGATTTGTCTTGAAATTGTTGATGTTTTTGTATTCGGTAAAGTCTGTATAGATTCTGTAATGAATAAAGCACTATCTTTAAGCGTTGGTTTGATTTATCCTATCAAAAACAATGAATAGTAATCAATAAATCTGTTTTTCTTTGTATAGAATAAGAGTAGATAATGAGCACACAGTCCACAACATGATGGTAAGTGGATGTTGTGGCCGATTGACATGTACATTTATTCTGGATTAAAAATTAATATACAGATCGATGTCATCCCTGAGGATTAAGATGGAATGCCTCGTTTCCGGCAAAAAGAGAACCGGATTCTCTACACTTACTATAGTACACAGTACAGTATTAAGCTGCTATTTTACGTTGGTATTCTGTGAGATCGTGGTCCTACCCCGGTCGAATCGACCCATTCGACCAGAATATAGCTGCAACGTGGCTGGTGATGTGACAATAATTTAGTTTTAGGGTGTGTGGGGTCGACGTAAGAAAATTCATTGCCCTACATCGTGTCGCAGGTGTTATATTGGGCGAGTTTGGTCAAAGCCAGGCAGACGTAACAGCCGCCGTAGATTGCGGTGGCTGTGTAAATTATTAATCCATCCATCCACTACAGTCTTACGTGCCTTACCTTTTTTACGTGATAGAGCCATGCTGCAGCTATATTACTGGTATTACTGGTATAGTTGTAGCGGCTCGACCGGGGAAGGACCACGCTCTCACAGAATACCAGCGTAAAATAGCAGCTTAACACCGCTGTGTTTCGTATGGTGAGTGTAGAGAACCGGAGACCCTTTTTACTGGAAAAGAGGCATTCTATCTTAGTCCTCACAGCTGACAACGCATCTGCATTTTAATTAGCAAACGAAGATAGATGTAGATGTAGATGTCAATGGGTCACAGCAAACACTTACCATCAGGTGGATTGTGTGCTCGTTTGTCACCCTTATTCTATAAAAAAAATATATTGGTCGAGTAGTTTGGCCAAAGCCAGGCAGACAACGCCCGTCGTAGATTGCGGTGGCTGTGTAAGTTATTAATCCATCCATCCATTACAGCCTATAAAAGTTTATAGCTAAACTTAGGCCTCCTCAACATATTGCCTCATAGGGGGGGGGGGGGGGGATTTGCCATAATTGCAACGCTTGGCAGATGGATTGACGACCGCAGTTTTTAATAATTTTAAATTCTTAACATAAAGATGCTGTTGCCAACCTCCTGTTTCAGTTTCCCTCTGCCGCCTCTTACGACAACCACGGGACGATATGGGGTAGCGAATATTCCTACACCGCCATTACACAGTTAAAATTATTAATAGCAGTAGTTTAGAGATTCTCAGGTTTGAGCTAAAACTTGATTCACAAATGAATTTCCGCTGAAATATACGAACTAAAATGTAAAGTACAGAGTTTGGCAGCGAATGTCAAATATCGCGAAGACTGTGGCGTCGCTGCTGAGAAACTTCTTTATTGAGAAAGACTCTTCTTAAAATATAGTTTATATAACCCAAGACTGTCATTAAACCACATTTTGTAATAAGACGGATAGTGTTTATCTTGTTACTATCCTGTAATATCTTACACTTAGATATAGCTTTGGATAATTTTTCACTTTAAGCCATATTTCATCAACTGAGACACAAATGTGTTAGGATCGGCAAATGTGTTTGTACGTAGAACATTATCATAATTGGGCTGAAAGGTCCATTATTAAATATAGGTCTATTGGAAGCTATAACGATTCGCGGCAAGCATCTGGGTCACCTGGCAAACTCACGACTTTTACTTCACATTCAGAGCGTATATTGACTTAACTAATAAAATCGACGTCAATTAAAACAATGCTTTACGGTGTTCTCACCCTCTTTTACTAAATAACGCTAGAAAAAGACAGGTATAGAGATAATTAATACTTAAGTAAAGTAAGCGATAATCAACAATTATAATTACGGCCGTACGATCCTTGGATATAATCACTAGGTATGTTTTATTCAGAAGTCAAGAGTATAATATAATCACTAAGTCACTAAGTAAGAGTATAATTTTATTTTATTCGCACCCTGTTACCAAAAATAATACGATAGATGTTTATGTACTTGCTATAATAGTGATTGTATATCATACGAGTAACAAAACTGACGGGTGAGTTCCCTTGTACGCGTGTTAGCTGCAGGAAGTCGATCCATTAACATTGATTTGTGGACTATTATTGAACGATAGAGATCTGTAAGTTACGAATATGAACAGCAATAAAAATAATGAAAGACCAAGAACATCGTTACACCTTGTATACAATATGAATAGATAACAATTGTTAAGTGGTGAAAATTAAAAAAATTATTTAACCTTTGGCTGACTTATCTTTGCTTTTAAGAAAGTAAATAATCATAAAAGGGAGAACTAACCCTTTATTACAATCAAAAGAAAATGAAATTGTCCGTTGGGAAAGGTACCAGCTTCCTACCTTATCTACCGCAAAGTAGAACTGCAGTGTTCCGGTCTGAAGCGAACGTGAGCTAGTTTAATTATAGGCTTCCACCTTAGTCCAGAGAGGTGACAACGCATATGTAGCCTATACAGCTAGGCACACAAGGCTACAGGTGCCATTGACTGCAGAAGCCACTTACCATCAGGTATACTATAAGTTCAGTTTTATAAAAAAATTGCAAGTACTTAATGTTACACTAGAGTCCACCTCAAGACCTACTCACACGTCCTTCCTCACACGTTATTTTTCTAGAATTCTCTAGACGCTCTGGCACAACGTATTCGTCGTCGGCAAATAGGGATTTATATTTCTTTTTTAATACGATGTTATTCCCTTCCTATCCTAACGCCTTATTATTTACAGATGGGTAGTTTGCAAAGTCTCTTAGTACCCGGTGAATAGTTTCTACTAAATGGAGTTATCTCAGATAACAATCTTCTCATATAAAAGAACATTTTCACTTACTTATCTTGTATTTAGATAGTAAGTATTATGACTCCAGAGAAACGTTATCTATGTGGATCTTTATTCCTGTGCAATTTGCTTAAATATAATGCCAAACTTAAAGAAGTAATAACCTCTGCTCCATTTCCAAACAAGCGCTGATAGGAGTAAAAGCTTTAATATGATGCGATGAGTTTGGTACAGAGTTCATTAATCCGTAAAATATTTGCATATTAAGCATTTTTTTTCAATTTGGAACAATTTGTAAAAAACCTCTTTTTGGTTATCTATCTATCGACTAATCCATTCATATAAAGAGATTTTCTAGTTCGCAATACACCTTTTCTGCCGACTTCCAAAAAGGAGCCGGTACTCAATTCGACTGTATGTTTTTTTTTTCGTTTTTTTTTTAATGTGTTACCTCAGAACTTTTTTCTGGGTGAACCGATTTCGATGATTCTTTTTTTATTTGAAAGCTGGTACTTCTCGTGTGGTCCCATATGAATTTGATCAAGGTCAGACCAATAGTTTTTAAGTTATTCTTAAATAACTTATATTGAAGTCGGCTGTACAAAATTTTTAATTTTAAATTATTTGTGTAGGCGTTCGCCTGGATATGTATCAACAAAATATTTATGCCGCTAAATAACACTGCTTTTTCTGGCGTGTTCCGTTCCGAAATAGAGAGCCAATACATAATATAATTACATGGTATGAGGCATTTCATCTTTGTTCTCAGAGGTGACAACAGATATGTGACCTTTTTTGTTTGTAGTTGGCTGAAGGTGTCCATGGATCAGGTGGACTATTCGTCACATCAGTTTTAAAAAAATGTTCGCTGCTGTACATGGGCGTCACACATAGGGCCAAAAATACCTCGCTCAGAGTAGAGAAAATATTACAGTGTGTGAGGTGAGTGGTAGAAGCACGCTGTAGCGTGTTATGGCTGCGGCACGAATAGGTCGGCACAGAATATCAGCGTGAAATAGCAGCTTAATGCTGCGGTGTTTCGCATGATTAGTATAGAGAAACCGAAACCCGTTTTATTTGTAAATAGTTACCTATTTCATTTTAGTTCTGGGGTCAATGCATCTTCATACTGATTTTTAACAGAGAACAGATGTTGACAGTATGCTTGTTTGTCGTTCTTATTTATATAAAAAAAAATTAAATAAATCAGTAAGAATAGATGGAAGAAGTCAAGGGTAATTTAAGCCGGGGTTGATACTCATGTACTATTTACTACGGCGGGGTTAGCCAAGATGATTTTCTACGATCCTAAACGCTATAAAAACTAAAAAAAATGAATTAATTAAACTCTAAGTCACGTGAC